CAAATTTTGTGTTGTGAGTAAAACACTTTATTATCAATTATTGTAAAGAGCACTGAACTAGAATCTAGGAGGCCTTCATTGTAGGCTCTGTTATGTGACCCTGAGAAAATCACTGAGGTGCTTTGGAAACTCACTTTCCTTATCCACAAGATGAGAAACAAGGGCTTAGAAAATTATAGATTTCCTTCCACCTCTAAATATCTAGATCCATGGTCTAAAAAATGGGTAGAGGAGGGAGAGTAATTATATTTCAGGTATAAAAACAAAACAACAGCAAAACTTACATAATGAGAACTTTTCAGAAATAGTAAGGAAAAGTTTTGGTTTGCTTTTTCATTTTTTCCTACTCCCTACGCATTTTAACATAATTTCAGGCATTTGCTTTCCATTAGTGACTCAAGGTCCTTATGCTTAGTTTTGTCAATATAATTCTTACACTTCACTTTAACACTCCATTTACCTTTCTGTACCTCCTCACATTATTCATCCTTCACAGCCTAAACTCAGTATTTTTCTCCACAGATCTCAATAAATTAGTTTCAATCTCTCTTGCAATATAATGTCTGCAACAAGTCTAAGTCAATCTATTCCTTCAGTGCGGCTTATGGCTTACACCATTCAGGAATGAGCTCATATTGAAGCTCCTCAACAGCTATGTTAATTTCTGCCATCAATATTATTTCCCAATTATGGTATGCCAAAATCACAATAAAAGGGACAGTATAATTTTATTGCAGTCCAAGCCTCTGAAGACTCTAATCTTTATAGGCCAAGCAAAAACAACAAAAAAGCAAGCAAATGCACTCAGTTTTAAAAAGCGTTCTTTAGCCTGCTTTACAATAATGCTAACACATACATGGTAATTTATTCTAAAAAAATATGTTGAAAATGCTCAGGCCTACATGCTCCATTTGGATTAGTTGTACTCTTTACTTGCTATTTAAATTAAGCTGCTCCAAGTTGTATGAATTCAAATACCTTCTTAGGGCAAAGTCAGAGGTATGAGACCAGTGATCTAGTGGTTAACATTCTGCGCACTCACTGCCACGGCCCAGGTTCGTTTCCCAGTCAGGGAACCACACCATATTGTGGCGGCTGCATGTTGCTGTGATGCTAGAAGCTATGCCACAGTATTTCAAATACCCGCAGGGTCACCCATGGTGGACAGGTTTCAGTGGAGCTTCCACACTGGACAGAGTAGGAAGAAGGACCTGGCCACCAACTTCCGAAAAAATTAGCCATGAAAACCCTATGAATAGCAGCAGAGCATTGTCGATACAGCGAGGGAAGGTGAGAGGATGGAGCAAAAAAGACCAGGCAGGGTTCAGCTTTGCTGTACATAGGGTCACTAGGAGTCAGACTCGACTTGACGACACTAACAACAATTCATAAAAAAGAGTATGAAGCACAGGAGGAGAAAAGTAAAATAAGGGCAGGTTAACCACATTTAAAGTCCAGATTCTCAGTGGAATATTAAGTCTGTTGTGCTATAGTAATATGAATCAGCTCACATATGATTGTTAAATGTGGGAGTAATGTTAGAATAACATGGACGTCGGGTTGGTTTATACTGAGTTTTTCCTAGAACTTTAACGTCTTCTGCTACCAAAAAACAATAGCTGAATGTCAAGTACAAGCAACACAGTTGATTGCATGAACACACTAGGCCTGGTGGAATACAGTACACAAACGACAACCTTTCGCTGTGTGGCACCCTGGTCTTCTTTTCACTTAGCTCAGCCATGCACCCCATTTTGATAGTGCTTATTTTGCAGTTCTCTTAGATCTTTGTGCAAAAGCAACACCAGACAATGAGTCAGAGCCATCCATCTCTGGCATCTCTAGATTTTGGGCAAAGTTTGCAACTGCTTCTCCACCTGCAACTTCTGACGATGTTCTCCTGCCCTTGTTTCCATCACTCAGCAGTGTCAACTCTTCCACAAACTGTCATTTTTCTAGCTATCTTTAACTATTTTTTTAAAAGGTAAAGCTCTATAAGTTACTATAGCATGTATTTATTCGTTAGGAATTTTACAAGTCCTTTCAAATGTGCAGTTTTCATTTGGATTTTTACTGTCTCTGTTAATGCTGCAGTTCAGTGGTTCCCATACTTTGCATCATGTTACTGTCACCCAGGGAGCTTTTAGAACCCTGATGCCCAGCCTCTACCCTCATACCATTTAATTCAGAGTGACCAGGGATGGGAGCCAGGACATCAGTAGTTTTCAAAGATTCCCAGGTGATTTAATGAGCAGCAAAGTTTGGAACTACTGCTCTAGTTCAGTTGTTCAGGTTTTGAGTAGTCTTTCCCAGGCCTATTTTTTCCTTAAGCTCTGTTATTTTAAGTGAGCTATTTTTTTGAATGTGAGGGTTTTCAGGAATGTACACATCACATTGTAGCCAAAAGGTTTATATTACCGTTTTGGGTTTCCAAAACAAAAATGTAAAGAATGCATAAAAGTATTTATAAGTATTTTATAACGTGTCAACCTATATATACTGAAACAGTGGGCTTCCTAAGGCAGACTGGTCCTCCAGACATTCAAGGTAAAGTGTATGCCATTGTAAGTACAACCAGTGTGTTATGTGGCCTCACCACTGGCTGGCGAGCAACATGTGTCACATTTACACAGTTCTACAGATTGTCCCCATCTACTTTGTTAACAAGCAGTCCTGTCTTTTCCTGGGTCTCCCTACTCTTGCCATCCTTCCAATTCGCCAACACTATCACTATGCCGCCCACAGTGCTGCCCATAGATTGGCTGTCTGCCCCACTGCCTTTTTTAACCACTATCTTTGAATCATGTATCCTTTTCCCTTCCAGTCCTACTGCTACAAATTAGAAACTCACACCTGGATTCTTGCTAGCCTTCTTATCCTCAGTTCCTACTTCCACTAAATAATTCATGTCAGATTAATTTTCCTAAAGTGCATTTATGCTTTTTCTCAAGCCCCAATTTTTCATAAAACCTTCCAAGATTTTAACACATATCCATCTTCCTCTTCCTTAAGCACTTAAAATATGTACCACTCAATCTGTCCAATCAGGGGGTAAAAAACCAGTGAACAAAATATTGTGGAACAAGCTTTGGGACTGAAAAAAGGTTACCTGTGATGTAGTTCATGTCTTTAAGCAATAATAACTAACATTACGGAGTGCATATCACATGCCAGCCTTTATAAGAATTACTTTTAGTCCCCCATCAACAATTTGATTAGGTAAGTACTATCATTTCCTCCATTTTACAGATGGGGAAACTGAGGCAAGGTTAAGTAATCCACTCAAAGTCAACAAGATCTGAAGACAGATAGGCTAGTTCCTGAGTCTGTTCTTAATCATGATTCTATACTGCTTCTCAATTAACAAGTCAGATATATTTGATTTCTCTACATCTCTTAAAAAACGGAGTTAAAAATGCCTGTCTTCATTACTCAAAAGAAAAAAAAATATGAAAAACACTTTGTAATTTAGTGTTAAATAAACTGATATTGCCACATCAGTTATTTTTCTTTATAATTTGGGATATTTATTATTTTTCCATGCACTAATTATTTCAAGTTTATAATTAAAGCTCTGTACTTATTCAGCAATTTCCTTGTTTAAGGAGAGACTATGACTTATTTATGTCCTTTTCACCTTGGAGAACCCTAAAAAGATCAATACAATATTTATTGTTAATTGGTTGACACTTTTGGTACTTGTAGAAATAAAAAACAATAAAAAATCAAAGTAAGTAAAAGTTCATATCATACTGGTTAAAAGTAATTTTAACTTTAATTTTCCAATTATTATTGTCATTGTTTCCCATGAACCACTCACAGGAAAGTGCAAATTCAGTTCCCCCAGATGCTAGTGTGAGTCTGAGTCTTGAGGTTAACAAAGAATACAGGACACAAAGAGAGACGAGCTATGCCCTAATTCGGAGGGGGAGCATTAAGATCCTCTACAACAGTGCTTCCAGAGACCCACTTTATTTATATACATTGGTTTCTACTAATAGAAAGTAACTCCAGGCATGTCAGATATCTAGGGAACTCCTTCCTACCCTTTCCTATCTCTTTTTTGCCCTATTCTTAGTAAGTCTTGATTGTTGTTCTAGATAGACGCAATTGGATTACTACTGAAGGGGAGGCTCCTGACTGCGTTGGGAGATATATAAACTAACAGGCTAGTCTTAAATGAACTAAATATAAAAATTTCACCTTCTACTCGAGGTTTAGATTCAGAACTAACAGAATACAATGAGTGTCCATTCCAGCATAGTTTGGTTGACTCTTTAACAGCGATAGAGTATCATTTAAATGAGTGGCACTTTGAGAGATTTTGATTTAAGCTGAAGGTCTCTCTATACCTTCTTAAGTTTTTAGTTCTCAGATGTTCACATAAATCATTTTCCTCTGTTGGAATTTTAACTTAGTTTTCCTTTATGAAGTGTTGAACTATGTCTATATACTCCCAAAGTCACAAGTCTAATTTATATAAATCACATAGGTAACGTTTGCGTCCAGATATAACTTATTTTTGTCTTACTAAATGAACTTTTCTTTATCCATAGACTTTCTCTCTGCATGTGCGATCCTTAGGAACTACAGAAAAGATAGCAGTTTCAAGACATGTGTAAAAGAATTTGTGATGCTCATAAACACTGCACATCTACTAAATAGTAGTCTGGCATATTACTTTAATGGAAAGGACACAAAGTCATAAACTTGTAATGTATTTATGATGAAATTAGTCCCAGAGATTACTATATAATGTCAATAAACATTTTCAAAGATAAGCACACTCTAAGAGATGAAAAACACATATTATTCATTTTAAAAATGTGGTATATTAGTTTCTTTAAAACTCCTTATTAATGCTACCTCATTTATCACTAATTAGTACTTTGGTTTTCTTTTAGTTCAATGTCTAACATTTGCAAATCACACAATATCTTCATTTTTTCACTTACGGTAGATACTTTAATTTTCCCCCCAGAAAATACTAGCATACTCACCAACTAATTCCTGATTGTATGTGGTTTCAAACAGGTCAGAGTTCTTTCAGTGTATAAAATATTAAACATTTGGGAGCGATCTGTAGGTAATTTTGTGGGTAACCTGTAATGAAAACAGATGCTTCACTTTACAGAAGAAAACTGCTGAAATTGCACGAGTTATTTCAAACCCACAATTCTTCGGTTAAGAAATCTCAAGCCTAACTGAAATACAGATTTCGTAAAAAAGGGAAACCACTCTCGCTGGTATTTTGTGTAGTATAGATCCTCTTCTCACTTCAAGCCCTTTGAATTTAGGGCACCACAGTAAAATAAAAGGGAAAGAGCGACGTTTCCAATAACATTTGTTAATATCCAAAATGATAGCTGTCGCAGGATCTAAGGAAACTGAGGCCCAAATGAGTTGATGTTCCTTGTGCAAGGAGAGCCACACGACCCATTAGCAGAGCCAGGACTGGAACCTAGTCCAGCGCTTATTTAGAAGATTCTTCCTTCATCAGTCCTTTCCTGGACAGTGCAGCAGACCTGCCTTCTATTTGCTAACCTCACCCCAAGGACAGGAGACCTGTGGCGTGAGACAAGGGAGAGTTTTCTAAGGGAGGCTCACACATCTTTCCCAGTTTGTATTAAGTTTTTTAAATAAGTGAATAACAACGCTTCGATACCGAAGCACTTTTACAGGCAAATGCAGAATATGCGAACATGCTTTTTATTTTGTGCTCTTTTGAGATGTATATCATATGGTCATAACGTGCTCAACTTTGCCCTGGGCCATTTGGTTTCTAAAAGATGAATCTTCGACCCCTGCAGCAGAAAACTAGGGATTCCACTTCCCCGCACCTGTATTTCATAGGAAAACAGCACTTATCTCTCTACTTCACTTGTGATGTAAACACCTTATTCCGTTTTCTCCCGCCTTTCCTGTCTTTTTTTTCAACATTTTCTTCTAATAATTTCTACCACATTGCCTTCCCATCCGCTGGGACAGTTGCTGTTCCCGGTTCTCCCTCCCACCGCACCTTCAGGAAGCTGCTTGCTTCCTTCCGCCTCTCGCTCGCTTTTGTCTCTCGCGGCTTCCGGGATCACCGCGGGAAAAACATTGCGCACGCGCACTAAGTCGTCAGCGCTTTGCCTCTGGGATGCGGTTTGACAGGTTTCTTTTAGTCTCTGACTGGCGGAAGCTAAGATGCGGTAACTCTCGCGATATTTGCTGCCGCCAGTCGGCGGGAGTTGCTGCCGGTTACGCGTGAGGCTTTTTACCTCCACTTACTGCCAGCGCTGCTGTGTCGCCCGGAGCGTCCGGCCCGAGCATCATGACGTCTGCCCTGGAAAACTATATCAACCGTATCCTTGGGCCTGCCGCCACAGGCGCTAGCCGGGGCCGTGGCGAGGCCGGCGTCCGCGCTGGAGAGGCCAGGGGTCAGGATCGGCGGGCGGTTGGGACGCCGGGCCACTGCGGGGCGCGGGGTGCGGGTGCAGGGAGTGAGGAGCCGGGACCGGCCAATCCTGCGCCCGGGGCTGGAGCCCGCCGCTCCTACGGGCCCAGGGCTCCTTTTAATTTAACCTAAACAAAAAAACCCAGTGTAATTATTCCGAGCTTTTCCCTCTCTCCATAGAAATCAGCTATTGGCTCACCCTAGGGCCTGTGTATTCAAGTTTGGGAGTTAGATGAGCTGTCGTCCTAGCGGCGACGCTGGCCTTGTAAATCTTGTCCTTGTTTTATTCACAGACTTGCTCACTTCGAGGATAGCACAGACTTTAAAGATGGTGTACAAATTGAATGTCTGCCCCTTTACCGCTTGAAGTCTGAGCTGCTTTGTTGACAGAATGAAAATAATGCTCGCTGTTGTAATGGATCGTCATGAGGGGCAAATAACTTTAAAAAGCCAGTGTGAAGTCTTAAAAGTACCCTACACAAGTGTTGCAATTTTGAAGTCTCAGGACAGGAGTACTGCATTGTGCTCTCATGTGCAAATTTGGGACAAAAGTGAAATATGAAGGCCTTTAATGATGCAACCATATTGGTACCTTGTGACATTGATTATAGCTTCTTTTCTTTTGAATTTCAGAAGGCAGGTCCTAGAAGGCAGTGTGTTAAAGCGCCTGAAATCATTCAACATTGATTAGTTTTGCACTAATCCAGTTTTCGTTTTAGAGATGAAGAAACAGATCTAAGAAAGGGGGAAATGTCTTGCTCAAAGTCAGATTGGCAATATTCCCAGTAAAAAAGAGTATTAAACTTCCCAGCTGTTTGAGACAGGATACACTGATCACATACAGAAAGGGATTTTCTTTCTCTGTTTTTTTCTTTTATTAATTGTGTAGTTATCATAAAGAATTGAAGAAAGAAACTCTTTAGGTTTTTATGTTGTGAATGTAGTGGCTTTGTTGAATAGTTGTATCTTAATTCTGTCACCTTTTTGCTGGTAAGTCATATGATTTCCCTACCATATTCCAAGTTTTCAGATTGCATTCCCTGCAAAATGCTTTCCTTGATTCAGTTATCAGGAACTGTTGCTGTTATTACTTCTGATGGGAGAATGATAGTGGTAAGTATTTGGCACGTTCATTCTCTGCTTTTTTTGTAGTCCTACTGGTTGTAAATTTTTATGTAGAACCTCTGAACTCTAATGCCTAGTACCCCAGTATACCTGCCTTGCAGTTTTCTTATGATTCAACTCTATCTGTCTGATAAATACCTGCCGATCCATATTTTCTTCATTAAAATACATTGAATATAAGTTGCATACAAGGCTTCTAGGATCTGGGAGGAGTAATAGATTCCGGCCTCAGAAAGTGTCTAGTCTGCAAATACCTTCCTGTATTTATATTTATCTTCCTCTTCCTTTTTTTTTTTTCTGCTTTATCTCCCCAAACCCCCCTTGTACATAGTTGTATATCTTAGTTGCAGGTCCTTCTAGTTGTGGGACGTGGGACGCCTCCTCAACGTGGCCTGATGAGCAGTGCCATGTCCGCGCCCAGGATCCGAACCCTGGGCCGCAGCAGCGGAGTGCGCGAACTTAACCACTTGGCCACGGAGCCGGCCCCCCTCTTCCATTTTTTATTTCCTTCTTCATCAGTGCTCTGACATTCACTATATGAATCATATAATTTTTTTTGAAATTTCGTGTATACATCTTAGAGACTTTTTTATGGTTTAGATACTGCATATGTAGAATAATGAACATTTAAGGTTTGAATGGTGTTAATATTCTCTGAATATTCTTAGGTTGTAAGACAACCTGAGGACAAATTATGATGATTAATTCTAAATTTATTTCACCTCATTTATCCTTTTGTTACAGTATCCTCTTGTAATTCCAGAAAAATTTTGGTTTCTCTCATTGACCTCTTCCTTGATCTGAGGAATTTATTCCATGATTTTGGGCAACTTAATTATTTCTTCATTTATAATTCACATAGTTGTTTTCTTTCAAAAAGTTTTAAGGCTACTAAACTTTCCCTATTTTCTAACTGTATTTAATTTAATTTCTTGTTTTCCCATTCTGCAGTTTTCCTTTTGTTTCTTTTTAATCCTTGTGATTTGACTATTATCAAAGTGTTAGTCTTTGCCGGTTATTAAGTGTATGTCATGTACCAGGCACTTTACGTCTGTTGTATCCCTTAATCTTCAGTACAACCCTGTGAAGAAGGATTACCCCTGTATTCCAGGTGAAGAACCAAACTCAGAAAAATTTGCTTTCCCAGAGTCACGTGGATAATAAGTGGCAGAACCAAACTAGGATTTAAATTGGATTTTGATTCCAAAGCTAAGGCCAGTTGGCGTTGCTTTTTTTCTTTGTTTTTAAAGATTGGCCCTGGGCTAACATCTGTTGCCAATCTTCCTCTTTTTTTTTTCTTTCTTCTCCCCAAAGCCCCCCACAGTACATAGGTGTATATTCTAGTTCTAGGTCCTTCTGGTTGTGCTATGTGGGACGCCGCCTTACATGGCCTGATGAGTGGTGCTAGGTCCGTGCTCAGGATCCGAACTGGTGAAGCCCTGGGCCGCTGAAGTGGAACACATGAACTTAACCACTTGGCCACAGGGCCAGCCCCTGGCCTTGCTTTTTTCTTACTCAAGAGAACGATCATGGTTTTTTCAGGTACCTCACATTGTATTTTGTCTAATAAGAACAGTTTGAAATATTTTAGTCTCAACACTTGAAGAAGCCTCTTGCTATTTACAAATATTTGCAAATAGTTTTTTATTTTGTAAAAACCTCAAGTTTAAGTTTTCCTATTTTTGTTAATGGGATAGATAAGAAATTGGAAAATTATTTTAATTTTATAGAAGGAAAGATATTTAAAATGGGCATTTTGAGTACTAAAGTTCAGTAGCCCTGTATTTCTGTGACACATAGTTCACTTGATAGAATAGTTACGTGTAAAATGAAGCCAAGAGGCTGTAAGTGTGATAACAACTATTTGTGAACAGTTTAGTATAGTAAGTACTCCACATTTTGTTTCTCTTCCAAATTATAGGTTATCATTTTCTCTTTATTTCATTCTGATTTTATATATTTTGATTTTCAAAACAAACCATTTAATAGTGAGCTTGAGAGGTTTAACCAGCCAAAGCCAAAATAAGTTGATGTTTCTTCAGAAACTTGAATAGCATCTGAGTTTCTGTGTTGTGCTAGGCCTGTGTCTTTCTTTATTCAAAACCAGGGTTCTTCCATAAAACTTTATCTGAATATTTCCTGCAAGTTCTTCTAATTACAGTCATATTTGTATCTGCCTAACTGGGTTATTGGGAGGATTAAATAAGTAAATAAATGTGAGGCTCACAGAAACACTGTCTGGCAAATAGAAGTACTCATTAAGTGTTAGCTCTTACTACCATTTGAAGTTTGTGTGCTGATTTGATTCTCTGAAAAATGGCAAATTATATTTGCTTGTTCATAGTTGTATCATATAGTAGTTCAGTGGCCTGGCTCTGAAGCTAGCCTTTCGTGGTTCAGATCCTAGCTCTGTTACTTTGTACCCATGAGACCTGGAGAGATTACTTAACCTCTCTGTGCCTCAATTTTTTTTCTCTGAAGTGCATATAATTATATATACCTCAAAGGGTACAGATTAGTTGAGATAATATGTGCAGTGTGTTTAGCACAGGGCCTAGTCCTAGGATGTAGCATGAAGAGATACTGTTACATTGCTGTAGCTGGTATTTATGGTTCCCCTTTATATATATAGTCGTAGTTTTCCCTTAAATTTTACTTGTTTTAGTTTGTGCCTTTAGAATGTTAGCTTCTGGACTACACAGGCTTTTATGCTGCTTTCCTTGGAAATACATACACTGGTACATAGATAGCCTTTGTAACTCTCAACAACTCTGCACATTAGTCAGATGTGTGGTGTAGTTCTTTTCCCCTCTCTTAAAAAAATCAAGAGGTAAGTTTTGTGCCCAAGAATACTCTTGGTTATAAAGAGTTAATTCTGTTATAGTAGACTTATATTTAAAATAGGTACTTCTATTGGATACCTGGCAACTAAAATTACTGTGTGGTTGAATTTACGTATTCAGGTAAATCAGAATATTTGTGTTTTTCTCTTGAATATTTTCTTTACAGGGAACACTGAAAGGTTTTGACCAGACCATTAATTTAATTTTGGATGAAAGCCATGAACGAGTATTCAGCTCTTCGCAGGGAGTAGAGCAAGTGGTACTAGGGTTATACATTGTAAGAGGTGACAATGTGTAAGTAAAACATGTCTTTTTTTAAGACAAGATAATTACTCTATAGGTGTACTGCCTTGCTATATGGAGAAGAGGTTTCTATCTGCTGAGATTTGTCCAGTGTCCTGGGTAGGGTTCAGAAAAGGCCCTGCCTTACACTGAATTCTTCATTACAGAGGCTTCGTAAAATGTTCTTCCAAAATACCCCTAATTTTAGAGGAACATAAATATACTCCTGGGGTCCAAGGCTAGATTTGAAAATACCTTTGAAAACTCTTGTGTGAACAGTTTTGAACAATTCATGCTCTATGACATAGCTGAATTTATAAACAAGT